CTTTTGTTTGGCACTTCTTGCTGCCACCGTGTGAAGAAGGACATGTTCACTTCCCCTTCTGCCATGATTGTCGGTTTCCTGAGGCCTCCCCAACCATGCTGAAGTGTGAGGCAATTAAACCTTTCCTTCATAAGTTACCCAGTGTTGAATATGTCTTTATTAGCAGCATGAGAATGGATAAATACACCTTTGAAGCACAAAAATTTTAATTTTAGTGAAGACCAATTTATCAATTTTTTTCCTTCTGTTGCTTGTTGTGTTGGTGTTATATCTAAGAAACCATTGCCTAAGCGACGTTCACATAAATAGTCATTCTGAACTATGAGGTGACAAGCTAAGTATGGCAAGGAGGCAGGAGAGTAGAATCCTGGGTCTCTGATGATTACGAAACTGCATTTTAGGCTTGGAAAGCCAAATTCTACATTTATTTTACACAAGAGTGAGATAAAGTATTTCATTTTTAAAAATTAAGACCCTCTGTTCCTTAAAAGACACCATAAAATGAAAAACAAAGATATAAGAAGATATTTGCAAACACATATAAATGACATAAATTTCATATCTTTAATGTACAGCAAACTTTCACAAACCAGTAACAAAAAGACAAACAACCCAATAGAAAAATGGGCAGTAGGAAGGAGTATCTCACAGAAGAGGAAACATATATGGCCAATAAGCATATTAAATGCTCAACCTCATTAGTAATCATAGAAATGTAAATTTCATACCCACGAAATAACAAGATTTTAAGTCTGAAATATCAAGTGTTACCTATGACATGGAGCAATGGGAAATCATACCCTGCTTGTGGGAATGTAAATTTGTATACTCATTTTAGAAAAAAAAATGATTTGGAGATACCTATGAGGTCAAGGAATTGTAGTGGGAGTAACAAGCAAGCTGGAAAGATGGTAGGTTTTTTAGAAAATGTAATGTTGGGCCAGGCGCGGTGGCTCATGCCTGTGGTCCCAGCACTTTGGGAGGCTGAGTCAGGTGGATCATGAGGTCAGGAGTTTGAGACCAGCTTGACCAACATGGTGAAACCCCGTCTCTACTAAAAATGCAAAAAAAATTGGCCAGGCCTGGTGGTGTGCACCTGTGGTCCCAGCTGCTCAGGAGGCTGGGGCAGGAGAATCGCTTGAACCTGGGAGGTGGAGGTTGCAGTGAGCCAAGATGGCGCCACTGCACTCCAGCCTGGGTGACAGAGCGAGACTCTGTCTTGGGAAAAAAAAAAAGTAATGTTGGAATTCATGACTTAGGAGACAGAGAAATTTGTGTGATAAAAAAGTACAAGGTGTAACCTTCCAAGAGGTTAGCTAAAGTGGAGAGGAAGTATACATTTAAGATAATAAGATGTATCAGTTGGGGTCCAATCAGAACATAGACACTACATAGTAATTTTTTTTTTTTTTTCTTGAGACGGAGTCTGGCTCTTGTCGCCCAGGTTGGAGTGCAATGGCACGATCTTGGCTCACTGCAAACTCTGCCTCCCGGGTTCAAGCTATTCTCCTGCCTCAGCCTCCAGAGTAGCTGGGATTACAGATGCCCCACATGCCTGGCTAATTTTTGTATTTTTATTAGAGACTGGGTTTCACCATGTTGGCCAAGCTGGTCTTGAAGTCCTGACCTCAGGTGATCCGCCCACCTTGGCCTCCCAAAGTACTGGGATTACAGGTGTGAACCACCGTGCCCAGCCTATTACATAGTAATTTTAACAAGAAAAGTTTAACATAAAGAATTAACAACAACAGGGGCTTGCAGTATTGAAGGATTGGCTCGTAATAAGTGAAGGAAACTCTGAAAAATATGGGATAGCAGATATAAATAGCAGACAAGATAAAAATAATGTGTAATGGCTGATACCTCTAGAGTTGTGATAACCCTCCTCTCCACCCAAGGCTGAGATCCAGGCCTTATTGGAGAAGTTGCTGTGGTGCTGAGTCAGTGGAACTTATTGGACGTACATTCTCTGGAACTTGCTGAAATATATCCCTCTACGGTGCTGGTTCACATGGAAGGTGTCTCATCAGAGATGCTTTGCTGCCTAAACACTCAAGGGTAGTGCCTGGGGAGGCTGCTACCTGCTGTTTGTTGGGAAAACCAGTGCTGCAGTAGGTAGGCAATAGGAAAGCTGGGAGCTCGGCAGGAGCTTGTGGAGTGAGCACACAGAAAAAAGGAAGTAAAACCCCTTCTTCCTGCAATGTCTCTCCACCACTGCCTACTGATAAAGCTTCATATCATGCCAGCTGGCAAAGTTAAAAATATTTCAAGGCCCCAGGTCCATTTTCGCAGAATAGGCATAAAGGGGAAATGAGACGTAATAAATTGATTACAGGTTGAGAAGGTCAAGGAACTGAGAGGCCATGATGTTGGATTGTTGTTCTTGTGGATATTGAAATGACCCAAGTGCTGGCAGAAATTAGAATGGGGTAGAAGGTTAGAGACCAATAAACTCATTTCTCTAAGTGTGACCTTGGTCTATCTGTATCAGAATCAAGTGGGATACTTTGAAAACACAGATTCCTTTATCCCACTGCAGATCTTCTGAACTAGAGTATCTGGGAAGAGAGCTCACAAATATTCTTTTTAAATAAGTGCCTTAGTAGATTTGAAATGAAAGAGAATCGGTTAGTAACATTTTAAACACACGAAACTAAATAGTAAAACAGGTACCAGTGTACCCAGCATTCAGTCTTAATAAATGTTCACATTTGCCTTATTTCCTGAAGATCTTTTGATTTTTCATGAAATGTTACCTATTTTAGCTTACGTTCCACGCCTCACAGGAGATGATCATATGAACATTGTTTTCTGTCAATCACTGCTTTAGGCAATAGAGAGCCTTTGAGGGTTTTTGAACAGGGGTATTAACACTAGAGGTGTTTTTGGAAAATCAACCCAAATGTGCCTTGTTAGAGAGTTCATTAGGATGAGAGGATGGAAGTGGGAAAGCCCTTGAAGAGGCAGGTTCAGTGGCCCAGAGGGTGTGGTACCGAGGTTCTGAGGTAGGGTGAGAGATCTTTGCTTTTTTTTCTCATACTTTTGTGTGAAGCCTGCTCTTTGTGTTGCTGTGACCCCAGTCTTTGAATTCCCCCTCTCCCCACATTCCCTCAGTTCTTCAGCTCCTTTCTATCTTCATTTGAGTCCCTAACCAGCCTGGGTTTCGTGGGTACCCATTTCACCTATATGCTTGCCACTGCCCTGGAATTCCTAGATTTGTTGACATTTTAGCATACCAACTGTAACTTCCAATCTTTATACAAATAGAACTGGTTCTTTTGCCTTGAGGCAGTGGCCTTGCCATTCTGATATACTTTATTACTCATAGTAATATTTGCTATAGTGAGTGTCCAAAACGAGGCCGAGTTTTATCTAGATGACCTTGGTGAACTCAAGCCTGTTTTGGAGGAGGCTGGGTTCACAAAATTTACTCAGGCTTTGTTCTTCATCAGAAGATGTAAGTGATGCCTCAATAATACTGCCAGATTTTGTTTGTCTGTAGAGTAAAATTTTGATGAGCAATTGTGAAAACTGTTCAGATGACATATAAAAATGTGTTTAAGTTCGTCAGATTTGGGAATTTTATTTATCAACAAATGGATTATGTTTTTATTTCCATTACATAGATTTGGCCATGGGTCAACGTCAATGAGAACTTTTGATTGACTATACTTATTTTGCTTAAGTCACAAGTACATCAAACAAACCTTGTTATAGAACTATGGACAGACACAATAACGTGAATGAGTCTGAAAATGATGATGTTGAGTTAAAGAAGCCAGGAAAAAGATAGTACCATACTGTGTACTTCCATTTATATAAGATTCTTGAAAATGCAAACTAATCTATAGACACTGAAAATAGATTGGTGGTTGCCTGGGATTTGGAGGCAAAGGGGAAAGAAAGAATTGAAAGGGCACAAGGAAGATTTTGGGGGTGATGGAAAGGTTTATCTGGATTACATTTGTGTGACTGTATCAAAGATGTATGTATATGTCAAAATTCATTAAATCATATATATGCAGTTCCTTATGTGTCAGTTACAGCTTAATAAAATGGTAAAAATCATTAACGAGAAAAAATATTTGTTTTAAGTCATTTAAACTAACTAACAAACAAAAAATCCTTGCTATAATCAGCTACTGTCTATATCAGGGACGCCATCTGAATACATTCATTCATTTATTCATTCATTCATTCAACATTTTTTAACATCTACCGTGTATACCTGGCAGTCTGCTGGTAACACAGTGTTAAATAAAACAAACAAGACCCCGAGTTTAGGAAGCTTACATTCTGGTGGAGGAGTCAGATCATCATATCAACAAGTGATAATAGTGAAGTGTGACAAGTGTCCTGACAGAGCAAGAAAGGGCAGCTTTGAAAATGTTTAGTAGGGTTATCTAAGCTGATTCTTTGGTAGTAGATGCCTGAAGCTGTGTTGAAAAGAATTCTGAGGCTTAGCAGGAAAGAGCTATAAATGATCTGATGTCTCCCATGCTTGAGGAGAGGTGATCATGGTAAGTGCCACACATTTGCCAACATAGAGTTATACTATTAAAGTTGGCCTTATCATACATTTCCCAATAGTATGCCTATTTCAGGTGGTTCTGAAAATGTTTGAGAATGATGAAGATCTCTTGTTATAGACTGTTTTTTGTTTTTTTTTTTTTTTTTCTTTCAGACCAGTATTTTGAGTGCAAAGCGTTTTTTTGTTGGGGAAATATGAATCTTCCACATTGTAGTGTAGATAGAGGACAAGTGCTCTTTTGTTCTCAAACATTCTATTTTTTCAAATGTATTTTACCCACTTATGTGACTGAGTCTGAGCCTTTGCTTAGGGTACTGCAGCTGGATTATGTAGTGGAACCAGGTCCAGAAAAAGAATTGCTAAAGAATGCAAGTAAACAGGATGTCAGATGTTATCCTTAGCCTATTTCCCTAAACATAGCTTTTTGGCTGCAAAGTAAAATGCCATTCTTCTAGCTTCTGCTTATACACAGTGATGGCTGACAGCAGGCACAATCTTCGTTTGCTTGGCACATTGTCACCATGCAACTCAACGTGTTTTGCAAGGAATCATCGTGACACACCATCTCTGGGAGATAGTATGAGGACATCCGGTTATTTCTTGGAAGAATTTTCTGCCTACCTTCTTTGAGCCCTCTTGTGCCAGCGTATCTCCCCATGAGGCTCAGATCTGTCTGACCTAAGAGCCAGTTGGCATCGTCCTCCTAACAGAAGCCAGATTTTCACTGGGGCTAGACTATTTATTGACAGTGTTTTCCCAGACTGGCCCATGAGTGTCTCATTTCCAAGGTCCCCTGAAGTGCTGGCTCACCTCTGTTTCCCAAAGCACTTGCTTGCTTGTCTCTCCTGCCTCCCCAGCATCCTTCTCACTTTCTTCCCTTATAACTTCTTGCACTCTGTGTGTGTGTGTGTGTGTGTATGCGTGTGTGCATGTGTTTTTCTTCTTCTTTTTTTATCCTAATGAATTTGTTTTACAGGTTTTGAAAAGGAAAAACCAGTGTTATCCAGGATTGTTACATTAATTCTTATCTGTTTCCACGTCTTGGACCGTGATCTCTGTGGTTTTAAAATCCTGTATTTTGAGTGGGTTCCGCTGTTGTTTGAGAAAAGTTGCTTTAAACCTTTGCTCTGCAAGCACCCGAAGAGAACTCATAAAAAGGAAGACAACAGCAGATGCAATCGCGGATGTGGCTTAGTCCTTGCAGCTGCCCCAGAGTGCTGTTTGGAGTGTACTGTCCTCAGTAATGAATCCAGAAGAACAAATCGTGACATGGCTTATATCTTTGGGAGTTTTAGATTCCCCTAAAAAGACCATCTGTGATCCGGAGGAGTTTTTAAAGTCCTCGCTGAAAAATGGGGTAGTTCTGTGCAAACTGATCAACAGACTCATGCCTGGCTCTGTGGAAAAGGTAAGGGAAATTCGTAGTCTCTTTGGGATTGCTTATCACCAGAGAGTAGCAATCATATAACTCTTGAGATTTTTCTATTTCCCAGGCCGTGGGAATCTCCTACTTTAATATTTTTCTAAGAGTTAGACATTCTTTCTTACTGTTTTTGTAGTTTGAAAATGTAAGAAAATGAAATGTTGTTCTTTAGTAATTGGCCCCCAAATTGTAGTATAGGGAAAACCTGTGACACTACTGGCAATAGGGGACAAGGAGAACACTCATATCACAAGCTTGCTCTATCATGGAGATGCATGTTACATCTCCTTGTGTACCGAGGACATGTTTTGAACTTGGGGTACTTATGAGTCTGTGGAAAAATAGAATGATTTATAACAGATCTTGGTGGTGTTTTTTGGCAGTTTGACTAAAATCAGTGTAGATTTCGTTTTACAAAAATCCATTGAAGGAGAGACTATATAGCAACTAAGAGAAATAATTCAAAATGTCACATAAAGTTTGTAAAAGCAATAGAAACCAGATATATGTTTCGAATGCAATGTGCGTTCAAAGTGAAACTAACTTTACTCTCTTTAAAACAATTCAAGATTTTTAATAGCTGGAAACCCATGATCACAAGAATAGATAATTTCTTAAGTAGGCACTTTAAATAGCTTAAAGGTACAATTTTACATTTACTTTCTTAAGGTCATCATGGACTGGGAGTATATAACTTTTGCCTGCATGGACCAGTTTGTATTTTTATTGAGCAAATAAATTTACTTATAGTTTCTTAAACTTGAGAAAGAGTGATTACATAGTGATAAAATGTAAAGAAATGGGATCAATTGTAGAGAACAGCCAAGGGGAAATATAATTTTATTAAATTATCAGGGGGAAGCGAGGACAGAGAGAGGTACCAGGGATTGCTTCCTTTCTTGAAAGCAAGAACTAAGCTCAAAAAACTGTCTTGGTCTCCCTAATTTGCCATCAGCACACTGGAATAGAAGGCATGAGAGAAAGCTTGTAAGTAGACATGACTTGCCACTAAAGGTTTGGTGACATTTGAAACAAAGATCGACCGTTTAGATTTTTGCATCACTTCCTTCAGTGGTTATTTCTCTTCCTGGATTGACAGCAGTGTTGCCCCACACCTTAAGAAGCCTGCTTTCTCTAGTTATCAGCAAATGATGAATATACTTTGCTTGGCATGGGATGACAATCTCCAAGTGACATTTCACTGTGTTCCTCTAGTTTTGTCTAGATCCCCAAACTGAAGCTGACTGCATCAACAACATCAATGACTTTCTGAAAGGATGTGCAACCCTCCAAGTGGAAGTAAGCCTACCCCGGGTGCCTTCCCTGTTGTTATTGTTTTTTTGCTCTGCTAATCAAGACTGGTAGTAAAAGTACTTGGTTTATTTTCACTGTCATTGGCCACTGAGTTAAACAGAGGTAGCAGACTGGTGGTCCCCAGTAATGAATTGCTAGTCTATCTTTTCCAGAAACCAGTTCCAAGCAAAACAAAACAAAATCAAAACTCAAACAATGATGTCTTTTATATACAGCATCCAAGCCCTGTAAACAGGCTTCCAGTGACAGAGCTTGTGTGGGTGTGTTCCCCTACTAAGGGGGAACCAAAAGCAGGCCACTGACTGTTGGAGAGGGTCACTGTAATCCTCCCAAGTTGAGAAAAGAGGAAAGGCCATTGTTACTCCTTCCCATTAACACTTTAGAACAGAGGCCTTGAAAAGCTGAGAGAACTTGGCTCTGAGGTAGAAATTGTGTAGTAAATTTTGTTGCATTATTTTATATTATATGGATCCCTACAGTGTGTATAGGAAGTGTTGCTGAAAGGGAGTTGATACTTCCACATGTGCATCAAGTTGCTTAACTTCTCTGTGCTTCATTATTTTTATCTGTAAAATGGACATGCTAATAGCCAACTCATGGGATTGCTTTAAGAATCAAATAAGGCTGGGCATGGTGGCTCATGCCTTTAATCCTAGGCCAAGGCAGAAGGATTGCTATAGCCCAGGAGTTTGAGACCAGCCTGGACAGTATGGTGAAATGGTGACTCTACAAAAAATACAAAAATTAGCCAGGCATGGTGGCGTGTGCCTGTAGTCCCAGCTACTTCGGAGGCTGAGGTGGGAGGATTGCTTGAACCTGAGAGGCGGAGGTTGCAGTGAGCTGTGATCGCACCACTGCACTCCAGTCTGAGTGACAGAAAGAGACCCTGTCTCAAAAAAAAAAAAAAAAAAAAAAATCAAATAATATACTGCGTAATAATTTAGGGCCAAGAGCTCCAACCTCATAAGATCTATGAGATAATTTATGTACAGTCCTTAACATAGGGCCTTGGGACAGAAGAAGTACTCTATATTAATAGATTAACTTTAGTCATATTATCTGTGGACAAATAGTTGTGGTTTAAGCATAGAATCTAGTGCTAAACTTCTTGGGTTCAAATCTCAGTTCTCTCTTACTAGCAGCTTTGTGACCTTGGGCATGTTACTTAACTATGACTCTAGGCCTCAGTCTCCCGACCTACAAAATGGGAATAATAGTGGCATCTAACTCTTAGGATTCGTGTGACCTTTTGTAAAAATATTATTTCAATAGTTTGGGGGGAACAGGTAGGTGCTATTTGGTTACATGGATAAGTTACTTAGTGGTGATTTCTGAGATTTTGGTGCATCCATCACTTCAGCAGTGTACACTGTACCCAATGTAGAGTCTTTCATCCCTCACCCCACTCCCACCCTTCCCCCTGAGTCCCCAGAGTCCATTATATCATTCTTATGCTTTTGCATCCTCATAGCTTAGCTCCCCTTATAAGTGATAACATATGTTGTTTGGTTTTCCATTCCTGAGTTACTTCCCTTAGAATAATGGTCTCCACCTCCATCCAGGTTGTTACGAATGCCATTATTTTGTTCCTTCTTATGGCTGAGTAGTATTCCATGGTGGGTGTGTGTGTGTGTGTGTGTATGTGTGTGTATGTATATATATATTACCTTTTCTTTATCCACTTGTTGGCTGATGGGCATTTAGGCTGGGTCCATAACTTTGCAATTGCAAATTGTGCTGCTATAAATATGTGTGTGCAAGTGTCTTTTTCATATAATGACTTCTTTTCCTCTGTGTAGATGCTCAGTAGTAGGATTGCTGGATCAAATGGTAGTTCTACTTTTACTTCTTTAAGAAATCTTCATACTTAAGGTTTTCCATAGTGGTTGTACTAGTTTACATTTCCACCTGCAGTGTAGAATTGTTTCCTTTTCACCACATTCATGCCAACATCTAATATTTTTTAGTTTTTTAATTGTGGCCATTTCTGCAGGAGTGAGGTGATATCTCATTGTGGTTTTGATTTGCATTTCTGATGCTTAGTGATGTTGAGCATTTTTTCATATGTTTCTTGGCCATTTGTATATGTTCTTTGAGAATTGTCTATTCATGTCCTTAGCCCACTTTTTGATGGTATTATTATTATTATTATCATATTTTGAGACTGAGTCTCACTCTGTTGCCCAAGCTGGAGTGCAGTGGTGTGATCTTGGCTCACTGCAACCTCCACCTCCCCGGTTCCAGCGATTCTCCTGCCTCAGCCTCCTGAGTAGCTGGGATCACAAGCGCCTGCCACCACACCCGGCTAATTTTTGTGTTGTTAGTAGAGACAGGGTTTCACCATGTTGGCCAGGCTGGTCTCAAACTCCTGACCTCAGGTGATCCGCCCATCTCGGTCTCCCAAAGTGCTGGGATTACAGGCATGAGCCACCATACCCGGCCTATTTGTTTATTTTTAGTATTTATTTATTTATTTAGTTTTGCTGATTTGTTTGAGTTCCTTGTTGATTTTGGATATTAGACCTTTGTCAGATGCATAGTTTGTGAATATTTTCTCCCACATTGTGAGTTTTCTGTTTGCTTTGCTGATTATTTCTTTTGCTGTGCAGAAACTTTTTAGTTTAATTAGGTCCCATCTATTTATCTTTGTTTTCGTTGCCTTTGTTTTTGAGTTCTTGGTCATGAACTCTTTGCCTAAGCCAATATCTAGAAGAGTTTTTCCAATGTTATCTTCTAGAATTTTTATGGTTTCAGGTCTTAGATTTAAGTCCTTTATCCATCTTGAGTTGATTTTTGTAGAGAGGTGAGAGATAAGAGATGAGGTGAGAGATGAGGATCCAGGTTCATTCTCCTACATGTGGCTTGCCAATTATCCCAGCACCATTTGTTGATTAGGGTGTCGTCTCCCCGCTTTATGTTTTTGTTTGCTTTGTCAAAGACCAGTTGGCTGTAAGTATTGGGCTTTATTTCTGGGTTCTCTATTCTGTCTCATTGGTTTATGTGCCTATTTTTATACCACTACCATGCTGTTTTGGTAACTACAGGCTTGTAGTATAGTTTGAAGTCGGGTCATGTGATGCTTCTAGATTTGTTCTTTTTGCTTAATCTTGCTTTGGCTATGTGTGTTCTTTTTGGGTTTCATATGAATTTTAGTATTGTTTTTTCTAGTTCTGTCAAGAATGATTATGGTATTTTGATGGGAATTGCATTGAATTTGTAGATTGTTTTTAGCAGTATGGTCTTTTTCACAATACTGATTCTACCCATCCATGAGCATGGGATGTGTTTCCATTTGTTTGTGTCATCTATGATTTCTTTCAGCAGTGTTTTGTAGTTTTCCTTGTAGAGATTTTTTCACCTCCTGGGTTAGGTATATGCCTAAGTATATTCTTTTTTTTTGCAGCTGTTGTAAAAGTGGTTGAGTTCTTGATTTGATTCTCAGCTTGGTTGCTGTTGGAGTATAGTAGTGTTACTGACATATTGATTTTGTATCCTGAAACTTTACTGAATTCATTTTTCAGATCTAGGAGCTTTTTGGATGTGTCTTTAAGGTTTTCTAGGTATACGATCATATCATCAGCAAGCAGTGAGAGTTTGACTTCCTCTTTACCGATTTGGATGCCCCTTATTTCTTTCTTTTGTCTGATTGCTCTGGCTAGGACTTCCAGGACTATGTTGAACAGAAATGGTGAAAGGGGGCATCCTTATCTAGTTCCAGTTCTCAGGAAGAATGCTCTCATATTTTCCCTGTTCAATATAATGTTGGCTGTGGGTTTGTCATAGATGGCTTTTATTACCTTAAGGTATGTCCCTTCTATGCTGATTTTGTGGAGGGTTTTAATCATAAAGGGATGCTGGATTTTGTCAAATGCTTTTTCTGCATCTATTGAGATGATCATGTGATTTTTGTTTTTAATTCTGTTTATGTGGTGTATCACATTTATTTACTTGCATGTGTTAAACCAAGCCTGCATCCCTGGTATGAAACCCATTTGATCATTGTGTATTATCTTTTTGATATGCTATTGGATTCAGTTAGCTAGTATTTTGTTGAGAATTTTTACATATGTGTTCATCAGGTGTACTGGTCTGTAGTTTTCTTTTTTGTTATGTCCTCTTCTGGTTTTGGTCTGAGGGTAATACTGGCTTCATAGAATGACTTAGGGAGGATTCTCTCTTTCTCTGTCTTTTGGAATAGTTTTAGTAGGATTGGTACCAATTTTTCTTTGAATGTCCAATAGAATCATGTGAAGTTTCAATGAATTCAAATATATGAAAAGGCCCCAGAAGAGTGCGTGGAATGTAGTAAGTATTCTCAGCGTGGTAGATATTATTATTAGCAATACTGGTAGCTTTGCCCCAGATAAACTTTGCTTCCTTCACCATTTTTCCTAAAGTTAGCCCTAGGACCAGGTTATATCTGACTCAGAATATTTTATTCCATTTTCCCCTATTGCCCAATTTGCACCCTCTCTCTCAATCTCTGTTTCTTTCTCTCTCGCTGTTTACATCTGGGTCTGAGTCTGTGACTTTTGAGGTTGGTGTGATGGGCGACCACTTTATATCCCTTATAGAATAATGTCTACTATGGAATTTTCTCTTTTTCTATTATGGTCCAGACTCTTCAGGAAATTTAAAATTTTTCTTTAATAAATACTGTGATATTTTCCTTTTTTTTTTTTTTTTTTTTTTTTTTTGGGAGACAGAGTTTTGCTCTGTCACCCAGTCTGGAGTGCAGTGGTTTCATCTCCGCTTACTGCAACCTCTGCCTCCTGGGCTCAAGCGATTCTCGTGCCTCAGCCTCTCAAGTAGCTGGGATTACAGGCATATACCTGGCTAATTTTTGTAGAGACAAAATTTCAGTAGAGACAGAGTTTCACCACGTTAGCTAGGCTGATCTCAAGCTCCTGACCTCAAGTGATCTGCCTGCCTCGGCCTCCCAAAATGCTGGGATTACAGGCATGAGCCACCGCACCTGGCCAATACCATGGTATATTTTTTTTTTTTTCAAATAAAAACATGGTGAAGTTGCCAATGATTTCTGCATTCTAAAGCTGCCAGAAGGTTTGCTGGGCTTCTTTTTTTTTTTTTTTTCTGAGACGGAGTCTTGCTCTGTAGCCCAGGCTGGAGTGCAGTGGCCGGATCTCAGCTCACTGCAAGCTCCGCCTCCTGGGATCACGCCATTCTCCGGCCTCAGCCTCCCAAGTAGCTGGGACTACAGGCGCCCGCCACCTCGCCCGGCTAGTTTTTTTTGTATTTCTTAGTAGAGACGGGGTTTCACCGTGTTAGCCAGGATGGTCTCGATCTCCTGACCTCGTGATCCACCCGTCTCGGCCTCCCAAAGTGCTGGGATTACAGGCTTGAGCCACCGGGCCCGGCCGGTTTGCTGGGCTTCTTTGCAGTTTTTTTTTTTTTTGAGACGGAGTCTCCCTCTGTCGCCCAGGCTGGAGTGCAGTGACCGGATCTCAGCTCACTGCAAGCTCCGCCTCCCGGATTTATGCCATTCTCCTGCCTCAGCCTCCCGAGTAGCTGGGACTACAGGCGCCCGCCACCTCGCCCGGCTAGTTTTTTGTATATTTTCAGTACAGACGGGGTTTCACCGGGTTAGCCAGGATGGTCTCGATCTCCTGACTTCGTGATCCGCCCGTCTCGGCCTCCCAAAGTGCTGGGATTACAGGCTTGAGCCACCGCGCCCGGCCCTTCTTTGCAGTTCTAAGAATACTGGATGATACAGAAATAACTTCCAGGTTAGGCATTGTTCAGGATTTTTCTGATAACTAACGCTTACTCCTTTAAGCACCAATGCTTAAAATATTCTTCCACTTTGAATAGAAATATTTTTTTAAAGTTATGTTTATTACTTTTATTTTTTTATGGAACACTTCACAAATTTTTGTGTTATTCTTGTGCAGGGGCCATACAAATATTCTCTATCTCATTCCAATTTTAGTATATGGGCTGCTGAAGTGAGCACAAGATAGAAATATTTCTAAAATGTATGTCTTAATTTTCTCTCTTCTTAAATAAGAGACACTGGAAACATTTTTATCTCTTTTTGATAATTCTTGCTGACCTGAACATTATATGAATATTGTAATGAGGCAATATCTGGCATCGTGGTTAAGCACATGCCTTCTCTAGTTTGACAGACCTAGATTAGAATCTTGGCTTGGTCAATTACTGGCTGCATAACTCTGGGAAAGTTACTTGACCTCTCTATGCTCCTTTTTCCTTATCTGTATAATGGAGACATTAATAATATCTGCTGTATATGATTGTTTTAAGGATCAAATGAGATAATACATCCAAGGCACTTAATACAGCACTGCACATAAGGCATGCACAATAGCTGTTTTCTGTGGTGTTATTACTAGGTAATGTTCTTTGCATTGCTGTGTGCAAAATTATTCTTGTAAGGGATATATAGGAGCCATATCAAGGCACTCCTAGAACCCAGAAAGAAGACTAATAATCAGTACATAAGGAATGAGACCGAAAGCTGAGCTGGGGAGCATAAAGCAGCCAAGAAGACTCATCATCTTGTCTCAAGCTTCCAGGTAGCTGGAAGACAGACCTAAACATAAATATTTGCAAATGTCACTGGATAGAGTCTCTTTCAGGCCCAAAGTGCCTGGCACAGTGCCTGGCATAGGACATACCTAATAGATTTTTGTTGACTCTATAAAACTGTAGATGTACAAAAAGCAAGAAGAGCAGGACTTGATTGTTGCTTAGAACACACTATTATTTATCTAAAGAAAGAATACTAGCTTGAAATTGTCAGCTTGAAAATGCAGAAAAATGGAGCCGCAGATGCAGCACCATGCCGACAAATTGAGTATTGGGCTCTGAGGCATGGTGACCACATTAAAAAAGCTGTTGCCTTCTGGTCCTCTGGGTGGCCAGTTGGCTTCTCCAAGTGACCTCCATCTGTGTGTTCTCATATGGCTACAATGTCTTAGGGTCTTTAGAGGATCACACATTTAGTAACTGATCAGGAAAGTCTGCTGAGACATCTGGGAACAAAGTGCTCTCTGAAGCACCCCACCATCTTCTTGACAGTGTCCTTTGTAACACAATTTTTTTGTTGTTGTTGTCTGTTTGTTTGAGAAGGCGTCTCGCTCTGTTGCCCAGGCTGGAGTGCAGTGGCACAATCTCGGCTCACGGCAACTTTGGCCTCTTAGGTTCAACTGATTCTCATGCCTCAGCCTCCCAAGTAGCTGGAATTATAGGCGCCTGTGACTATGCCTGACTAATTTTTGTATTTTTAAGTAGAGATAGGGTTTTGCCATGTTGGCCAAGCTCTCCTGGCCTCAAATGATCCACCTGCCTCAGCCTCCCAAAAGGCTGGGATTACAGGCATTAGCCACTATGCCTGCCCCATAAAAGTGTATTAATTAGACATTTTTGTTTTTTATTTTCAATTTTTGTGGGTACATAGCAGGTGTATATATGTGTGGGGTACATGAAGTGTTGTGATACAGGCATGCAATGTGTAATAATTCCATCATGGAGAATGGGGTATCCATACTCTCAAGCATTTGTCCTTTGTGTTACAAACAATTCAATTACACTCTCTAAGTTATTTTAATATGTACAATTATTGTTGACTATAGTCACCCTGTTGTGCTATCAAATAGTAGGCCTTATTCATTCATTCTTTTTTTTTTTTTTTTTTCATTTTTTTGTACCCATTAACCATCCCTACCTCCTTCCCCACTACACTTCTCAGTCTCTGGCAACCTGTCTTCTACTCTCTATGTCCATTAGTTCAATTGTTTTGATTTTTAGATCCCACAAATAAGTGAGGACATGTGATGTTTGTCTTTCTGTACCTGGCTTATTTCACTTAACATAATGACCTTCAGTTCCATCTATGTTGTTGCAAATGACTGATTCTCATTCTTCTTTATGGCTGAATAGTACTCCATTGTGTATACATACCACATTTTCTTTATCCATTCATTTGTTGGTGGACACTTAGGTTTCTTCCAAATTTAATTTGCGAACAGTGCTGTAACAAACACAGGATCACCGTTATCTCTTCCATATACTGATTTCCTTTATTTTGAGTAACATACCCAGCAGTGGGATTGCTGGATCATATGGTAGTTCAATTTTCAGTTTTTTGAGGCACCTCCAAACTGTCCATAATGGTTGTACTAATTTACGTTCCCACCAGCAGTGTATGAGGGTTCCCTTTTCTCCACATCCTCTCCAGCATTTGTTATTGCCTGTCCAAAAATTTTTAATTTTGATGAAGTCAAATTCATCTCTTTTGTTACTTGGGCTTTTGTTGTCATATCTAAGAAACTCTTTTGTAATTAAATGTCTTGAATTTTTTTCCTGTTTTCTTCTAAGAATAATATAGTTTTACATTAAGGTCTTTGATCTATTTTGAGTTAATTTTTGTATATGGTAGGAGATAGGGGTCCAAATTCATTCTTTTGCATATGCACATCCAGTTGTTTCAGTACCATTTGTTGAAAATACAACATTAACCAATTCCTCCATTGAATTGATTAATGTAGCTATGTAGTAAGTTTTAAAAGCAGAAGGTATGAGTCCTTCAACTTTGTTCTTCATTTTCAAAATCACTTTGGCCATTCTGGATCCCTTGCATGTCCATGTGAATTTTAGGATCAGCTTGTCAATTTCTGCAAAAAAGACCAGCTGAGATTTTGATAGTGATTGTGTTCAATCTATAGATTGCTTTGGGGAGTGTTGCCATCTTAATAATATTAAATGTTTGGATCCATGAACATGGGATGTATTTCCACTTATTTGTCTTTAATTTAATTCAGCAATATTTTGTACTTTTCAGTGTACATGTCTTATACCTTCTTGGTTCAATTTATTCCAAAGGATTTTATTATTTTTGGTGTTATCAAAAAATAGGATTGTTTTCTTGATTTGGTATTTAAATTGTTCACTGCAAATGTATAGAAATATAATTTTTTTTTGAGACAAGATCTTACTCTGTTGCCCAGGCTGGAGTGCAGTGGTGTGGTTATAGCTCACTGCAGTCTCAAACTCCTGGGCTCAGGTGATTGTCCTACTTCAGCCACCTGAGTAGCTGTGACCACAGGTGTGGAGCACCAGGCTTGGCTAATTTTTGTATTTTTTATAGATACAGAATTTCACCATGTAGCCCAGGCTGGTCTCGAGCTCCTGCGCTCAAGTGATCTACCTGTCTCAGCCTCCCAAAGTGCTGGGATTACAGGCATGAGCCACGGTGCCTGCCCAATTGATTTTTTCATGTTCATCTTGTATTCTTCACTTTGATAGAACTTATTCATTAGTTTTAATAGTTTTTTAGTGGATTCCCATATGGTTTTCTTATACAAGAGTATGCCATTGGTGAATAGGGATAGTTTTACTTCATCCTTTCCAATCTGGATGCCTTTTATTACATTTTCTTCCCTAATTTTTCTGGCTGGAACCTCCGGTACAATGTTTAATAGAAGTGATGAGAGCAGACAGTCTTTCACCATTGATATGATGTTAGATGTGGGTTTTTGGTAAATGCCCTTTATCAGATTGAGGAGGTTTCTTTATATTCTGAGTTTGTTATAAGTGTTTTGTTTTGTTTTGTTTTTATCATGAAAAGGGTTTGATTTTGTCAAATGCTTTTTCTACGTCTGTTAAAATGACCGCTGGTTTTTGTTTGTTATTATATTTGTGTGCTGTATTACATCAATTGATTTTCATATATTAAATCAATCTTGCATTCCTGGGATAAAACCCAGTAGATTATGTTATATATGCACATAGAAATTCGTGCACATCTGTGATTATTCTTGAAGGATCTTTCTTCATAGAAATTGGATTGCTGTGTGAAATTATGATAGATAATGTCAAATTGCCCTACAAAAATGTTATACCAAGTTACACTCTCACCAACAGTGTACACAGTGTCTTCTTCCTGTCCCTGGCAACACTGGATATTATTTGTCTTTAATGTTTGCTAAACTGATGGATGAAAATGGCACTTCATTTATTGCTGTAATTTGTATTTCATGATTACTAATGAGTTTGGACATCCTCTTATCCCTTTATAGTCTATTTGCATTTCCTTTTTGTGAACCAAATATATCTTTCTTATTTTCTTACAGAATGGAGAAGGCAGGGAAAATGCTCAGATCCCAAGTGAAAAGTTTCCAGAATATATGGAAGAATCCTCCTGTCTAGGTAGAGGGTTACTGATGTCTCTCAACAACAAAAGTTCTAGCAATGGCAGTTTTATTTTTGTGTTGCCCCTGAAGTTGGTGAGAGTTGGGGGCACCTACAATTCTTCTGATCAGTCAAGAATGGCCTGGGTAGTACCTCTTTGATTGCATTGTCCTGGCTACAACTACATGATCGACTGGTCTCTGAAAGCTCTAAACCTATGGTTTTCCTCTTAGCCAATCCTTTCCACTGCCATATCCCCAGAAAGTAATCTGCCTTTGTCCTCTGCCACCATTACTACCAGCCCATTGCCAGGGACACCCTACCATCTCCAATTCTGCTCCTGAGCCAAGTTTATTATTTATTTATTTATTTTTGAGATGGAGTCTCGCTCTGTCACCCAGCTGGAGTGCAGTGGCGTGATCTAGGCTCACTGCAGTCTCCACCTCCTGGCTTCAAGGGATTCTTGTGCCTCAGCCTCTCAAGTAGCTGGGATTACAGGTGCCCGCCATCATGCCCGGCTAATTTTTGCATTTTTAGTAGAGACAGGGTTTTGCCATGTTGGCCAGGCTGGTCTCGAATTCCTGACCTCAAGTGATCCATCTGCATCTGCCTCCCAAAGTCCTGGGATTACAGGCATGAGCCACTGCACCCAGCCCCAAGTTTATTTTTTAAAAAGATATTTCATTCTGGAGGGATTTCATTGAATGTATATGAGGTTCAATTAGTACTTATTTCACTTTCTTTCTTCCTCCTTCCCTCTCTTCCTCCTTCCCTCACTTCCTCCTCTCTTACTCCCTCTCT